AAATTACTAATTAGTATAAATATATATATATATATATATATATCATTTTTTTCAGATGAAAGATAAACATTTTCTTTTTCAAGGCTTAGATATGAACTTAGATGGGTTCCCACAAAAGAGGTGAAGTGAGATTATCCAATCAACTTCATCTCTTCTCCTTTTTCATTAGCAAGAGTTGAGAATACAAGTGTATGCTCGAACAAGAAAGATAACCATGAGAAGACAAGTATGTGTTCCTACTGTTCTATGTTTATGCCTTCATTATGCAGCAAGAGGTCAAAGCAAGTGTTGAAACAATCATTGATCTATTGAAAACAGGAGACCAAAGCAAGAAAGGCATAGACGAAAACAAACACTAAAGCATATCAGACCTCTAACATACTTCTTCAGCATATGCAAAAGTCACGATTGTCTCCAAAACAGGAGACCAAAACAAATACTAAAACATATCACACCTCTAACACACTTCTTCGGCTTACGAAAAGTTATAATTATCTCTTCGAAGATATTTGATAAAATTGAAACGATACAAAAAAGATACAATTAAAATGATACATAGAAGATTTATCATAAGGTTTTAGGCTCGAATCATAATCTTCAGCACATCCAAAAGCAATAATCTAAAATATCTATAATATAGTTCTTCAGCACATCCAAAAGCAATAATCTAAAATATAATTGGATGCAATAGGAAATCTGGCAAATCATCATAAGGAGTCGAAAAGTTGTGACCATATTACTACTACAATAGAAAGATCATCGTACCGATGATCACTATGTTTGGACTAAGTTCTAAATTCCCCTGTAAACACAACCAATCAACTCCTCAATCAATTCCCCTGTAAATAATGTCGTCGTTATTGAATGAATGATGATAGGTGCCAACTCCTCAATCAAAACATACACTCCCCTCACATAGATAATTAACCGACAAGAAAACAAGCAAATGGAGGCCTTTCATAGTCTGACGAAAAAGATGGTGAGATCGGGGCCGTCGCCGTCGTCGGGGCCCGTCATGTATAGCGTCTCCGAGTCCCTCGACCCGATGACGTGCTCGAACCCCGCCCTCACGTAAGCCATCTCCCCCTCCGCGTCGGTCTTGGATGGCAGCACGCCGGCCCCCATCGACACCGCCCGCAGCGTCTCCATCACCATCAGGTCCCCCTCCGACGCATCCCGCCGGACGCCGTACCCGCACTTCTTCCCGTTGCAGAACATGGTCCAGAGCGACTCGTCCAGGAGGCTCGGCGACGACGAGTGCCCGTCCTTGCCGTGCTCGGGAGGCTTCCTCTCGCACTCCAGGGCGATGCGCACCATGCCGGTGCTCATCTCACGTAGGAGCGCCTGGGTCTGCATGGAGAGCTCGACGACGAGGGAGGGCAGGCACCGGGAGTTCTCCTGGAGGGAGAACGACACGCGGCCATTGCGGTAGCCGAAGAGGGTGCCTGTGACGAGGTGGCGGCTGCGGCGTCGGATGTCGGAGGAGAGGGGGGAGGCGGAAGGGGTGCAGATGACGAATGGGGCGACGGCGGTAGAGGAGCTGCGGCCGCAGGGCTGTGAGAACTTGCACCTGGGAGTGAAGATTGGGAGGGTGCGGCAGAGGGAGCGGAAGAGGCGGAGGACGCGGGCGGGCCGCCGCCGGCGGTGGTGGCGCGACGAGGGGGGCACGAGGGAGACCAGCGGCGAGAGCTGGTGAGGGTGGTTGAGCATGGGATTCTGCGGATTCTCGGCATCAGTAGCGACGGCTCTCTGGTGGGGCTCCGACATTGGGGTGGCCGTGGGGTCAGCCGCGTCGGGGGTCGTTGTGGTGCTGGCCGGAGCGGCCATTCGAGGGGAGAGTGAGAAGTGGAGGGGCCCACTCGGGGAAGGGAGAACACGGAGGTAATTGGGCGGAGTTGGCTCGTTAGTTTCTGGCGGCGAAAGGTGAGGCGCTTCGTACGTGCTTCGGGACGTTTGGGTCGGACTTGGTCTTTCCGCATCCTATTTCCGGGTACACAATACGGGTTACCCGACACGCGTTCCGATCCGTTATTGTAATATATATATATATATATATATTTGTTTGGATGGATTTGTTGTTTTCACATTCCCCTGACGGAGCTTCTCACGAACATTTTTTCTTAAAGAAAAAACATATTTTTATTGGTTTTTGTAAACAATAAAAATTTAAGTATTTTAGATCGATAAACAATAAAAATTGCTCCTTTTAACTTTTTTTTATTTATATATACTCTAGTCTCAAACGACCGAAGAACTAATCAAGTTGACCTCTTCTATGGTTTTTGACCGGATCGAACTACAAAATAAATAATTAAGATTTTATTATTAGTCAAAATCAGTACACTCAGCTTTGAGTCGTTATATCAATAAATTTTATTGCTTTAGATACAAATAATTATATTTTATTAATTTGTATTTTAATCAATTTCTATAAGTTATTTATATTTTAAAAATATAAATTTATTTTTGGCAATGTAGTCTCTTTTAAAATTGATAAAATCGATTATGTTTTTAGTCGATCTAAAAATCACAAGACAACATCAAATGAGAAAAGAAAAAAATATTATCCTTCTGAAGGTACTGACTAATTTAATTGGTAAAACATCGATCGATTATCGTAAGGTTTTATATATTCGTCATATATCTTTTATAAAAAAAAATATTGATAATTTAAGTGATTTGAGTAGAAAAAAATTGATAAGAGATTATAAATAAGAGGTCTTCGTCCCAACTGACACAGAATCCATGCAAATTGAGATCATTAGAAAATGGTGAGGAAGACTGACTCATAGGTTCGCACGAATAGTCCATACCGTTGAATGCGTCTATAACGTAGATTTACCTAATGCCAGAGCGCGTGCATTTACACTGTCAAAGACTATGACCGTTGACTTCAAATTGCACTTGTTCTTGTTACCGTTCTTTTAGCTACAATCAAATGTATTAGTGCAATATATAACTCTTTGACTTGATCCAGCTTCTGATTGATATAAACAGGGACTCATGGTTCGACTTCCACATCTCAAAGTTGAGAGGTTGAGAGGCAAGAGAAGTGAAGCCAGTGAAGAGAGAGAGAGAGAGAGGCAATAATGGGGAAGAAAGCCGCTTATGTCATTGCATCATCTGCCTCTCGGCAACCCTCTTCTTTGTGGCAGTCTATCGTAAGAGTCGGTGCTGCTCGTCTGGGCTGGCCACACTCCTTTCCTGATCCCAAGGATTCTCGTGATACAGAAAAAGAGAAGGAGAAGCAACCCATGGTAAGATCTCTCACTGATATGTATATAATATAGGATTAATTATAGTTTATTTTTTATAATTAATTATCTTTAGTACCTCGTTTGTTTTATTTTTAAAAATTATATTGAGAACCTTATATTTATGAAAGTTAAATTTTTAATCTTGTTTCTCCTCTCACGCTATCTATTGTTGATGAAAATACCGTAGGATTTATCACTGAAAACGTATTGACTTTGTCTCACTTCAATTTATCACTAAGTACATGTGATATTTCTATCAGTAGAGTTGACGATGTGAAAAGAAACGAGGTTAAATATTTTACTTTCATAAATATATAAATCTCAATATAATTTTTAAAAGTATAGATACCAAGATACTATCGATAACTAATTAGAGGAGATAATATATAATTAGTTCATATAATACCTACATATATAAATATTATCTCAAGCCATGTGTTATAATATGAATATATTTTATAGGTCGGAGGAGATCAATTGCTTGTATTGGACAAAACTCGCGGGCCGACAAAGCCAAACCCAAGTGAAGGGCAAGGAGGCAAAATCAACTGATCAGTGTCAAACATGAAAGATCGCTAATTGGCTTTTGCATGTGAATTGTTATGTAATGCATGATAAGTATGTGTACATTTTGAAGGTTTGTTGATCACAAAGTTCAATGTTTTGTGTGTTCATGAAGTTGAAGTAGATGAACTTTTGGGTGCTTCCTTTAACATTTTCTCATCCTTTACTATTTTTAAGACTCCTCTCATACTATAAGTTCTCGAGAGCGTTGATATATACAAAGAAATCGGGGTATAAATTTCTCCGAAGTTTATAGAGTAAATATTTTCCAAACCCTATTGATTTTCAAGTAGTTACCCTTCGTTATGTCATACAAGAAGTAATTTCTTAAGTTAGAACTTTGTTTTTTTTATTTAGTCCATCTCAATTCTTCTAGAATTAATTTCTTTAATCATTCTTTATTAGATCAATTTGATATCTAGAATATTTTAAAACT